GGAAAGGATCCTCGCCCTTTCTGTGTCAGAAGGATGCAGATGGGAGGTTCTGGCTCTGGGTGTCACCGGAAGCTCTGCTCCTTCTGACTGAGCCACGGTGGGTGCCGACGCAAAAGGCCCCAGATCTTCATCCGGAACGGGTTGGCCACCCCTGTCCTAGGCACTAGTGTGTGGCCAAAGCACGGAGAGAGGCGAATGTGGTTGCAGATCCTCGCCCTTTCTGTGTCAGAAGGATGCAGATGGGAGGTTCTGGCTCTGGGTGTCACCGGAAGCTCTGCTCCTTCTGACTGAGCCACGGTGGGTGCCGACGCAAAAGGCCCCAGATCTTCATCCGGAACGGGTTGGCCACCCCTGTCCTAGGCACTAGTGTGTGGCCAAAGCACGGAGAGAGGCGAATGTGGTTGCAGGGGGGAGGGGAATGGCGCTGTCTCAGGTCTCAGACATGAAACATTTCCCAAGGATTAGCCACGGGGCTGAAGGAAGGGGGCTCCGGCAGCGATCAGACAGCCAGAAAAAAGGGAGAGGAAAGATCATTACTGGCTCCTGGAGCAGCCCACACAGGTTAAATGCAACCGCCTCTGGGGAGCATAAGAGCGCAGTGACACTACACAGCTCTGTAGGGCCAACGAGGAACACAGCCAGCACGGCCTGGGTAACAATCCTTCCAGCCAAAAGTGCCTGGGCATCTTCCTCAATTGCAAGTGCTCGGGAGGTTGGTTTTCTGTCTCATGCAGTACACGGCATCCCCACATGTCTATCTGGCATTTCTGGCATCCCAGGTATGTGCCTTGGGAGTTGGACTCGGCCCAGCTCTTGAGAGCAAACAGCGTGACAGCCTGAGAGGCAGCTTGTCATAACTGTACCTAGCGCTGAACTAGTGCTTTCCCTCCGGGAATCCCCAAGGGCTTGACAAAGGAGGGCAGGGTCATTATCCCCATTTGACAGATGGGGAAAACTGAGGCCCCTGGCAGGTAAGCCTCTTGCTCAAGATCCCCCCGCAGGACAGGCGGAGAGCTGGGAATGGAACAGGTTCTTTTTAGCCCACTCCCTCAAGCCCTACCAGCACGAATATGACTGCCACCCACTCCCGTAACCACACACACAGACCCAAAGCCCGGATCCATAGCCAGCAGGGCCTCCTCCCATGTCCTGGCAGGCGTGGAAAGACTTGAAAAGCAAAACAAAGGCTAGAAAAGGGGAGGGGAAGGAGAGAACCCCAGGCGTGGTGGGAAAGGGCTGGGAGGAGGTGGGATGGGAGGAGAGAGAAGGGATGAAAGAGAGAAGGAGGGTGGGGCCGGAGGTTTTTTATCACCATAAACCAGAGAGACCAAAGCCGAGGTTCACAGCAAATGACAAATCACGCGGTGTCCGGTTAGCCCCCCGCCCCCCGCCGTGGGGGCGCCAGCGAAGGACGCGTGCGGGCCTTACCTAGCGTCACCTCGCTCTGCATGGGCATGGAGAGGGCGGGGTGCTTGACCTCACAGCTGAAGAGAGCCTCATTGTCTATCTGCGGGTTAAGCGTCCACATGAGCATGGCCCGCACCTCCACGGTGCCGTCGCTGATGGGGAGGTGCGTGTGGTGGAAGTAGTAGGTGGGCTCCATGTTGTGGACCCACCTCGGGAACTCCCGGCTCACCACAGTCTCTGGGATGACCTCTGTGGCCGGGCTGAAGAGAAGTCCCTGGTCAGGGGTGAGGCTTTTAAAGGGGTCCTCCGTGTAGGGCCGCCCGCCCCGGTCCTCCACGTCCAGCAGGGACAGGGACTTCTGCATCTTGGTGTCGTCCAGGTCGCGGTTCAGCTGTAGCCCGGCGGCGCTGGCTGGAGGCTCCAGCAGGGGTACCACCTCTATCAGCTCCCCGTCTCTCTTAAAATACACCTGCAGGGGCAGAGAGGGAGCGGCCCGGGTTACTGCCGGCCCCCCAGCCTGGGACCCAAAGATCCCCCACCCCCGTTTCCCAGACACAGCTGTGTGCAACCAGCATCCCCGAGATGGGGGACTCGATGGTGCTGCATTGGCAGCTTCTTTCTGCACCAATGAACTTGCTCCACTCTGACCTACGGGAGCCACTGGTCCCTGGGACTGGACAGTCGCTCCTTCCAACCCACACAGGGCTTGGCCTCTGTCGGGCTGCCTGCTGGAGACACACGTGTCCACTAGGGGTCGCAGCAAACATGCCAAACCCGTCCCATCCAGGCTACCGATTGCTGGTTAGCATCTGCCTCCTGCCCCGGCTGGATTTCAACCAGCAACCTGGGTAGGCAGGACTCTGAGTCACACTGAGATGGACGCTGCCACCTTCAGACCTCCTGAGAGCCCAGCACCGGATCTACTGCTTCCCACTGGGATCTAAGCGGGCCTCATGCACCAAGGATCTAGGAGAACGGGCAAGTTAACCTGGTTAACAAGTTAGCTTCTACTTTCGTACTCCCTCTTGGTTTCTTCTGGCACTTCACCGCGAGACTAGAAAACCAGCCCTTCCCTCCGGCAGAGCTGAGCCGAGACTAGGACCGGGGGCCCGCTAACCGCTGAGCCAAAGGAACAGCCATGCTAGTAACAGGCACAAGAGAAGCTGCTGGATATTACCCAGAATGTCTCCCAGGAATACAAGACCCAACATGGCAGCAGGGAAGGACGACCAGGCAGCAGGACAGGGCTGAGTGGCCGGGGAGCCATCAGGGTGGAAGGCAGAAGCTGCCTGCAGAAACTATTCACAGCACTGTCCTCACCCCCACCTCGCCGTCCCCAGCCTCCTGACAGGATGTGTGGGCAAGGTGGGGAGGAGGGAGCCCGGGAGGGAGAGAGATGCATGGCGACAGGTGGAGATGATGCTCTCTCTCGCTCTCTCTCTGTCAGGGTACAGAGGAGCTGGAGTCTGAGTGAGGGGAGTGTGTGCGAGATGCGGGTGTGCGACTGCATCGCCATGTAACGATGAGTGTGTGCGAGATGCGGGTGTGCGACTGCGTCACTGTGTAACGATGAGTGTGTGCGAGAGGATGAAGGACGGTTAGTGAGCAGGCGAGCGTGAGGGGGGAAGTGCAGAGGAGATGAGGGCGTGTCAGAGAGGGGGTGGAGTGTATGTGGGGCGTTTAGAACAAGAGCAGCTGAGTGCGTGTGAAGGTGGGTGTCTAGGACAGCTAGTCGGGTGTGAGGTGTGTGTCTCGTTGTGAGAACAGATGTGCATGTGCGAGAACAGATGAGTGTGTGTGTTTGGAAGGGTCTGGGTGGGTGTGAGTGAAGGCAAGCGTGGCTGCATGGCTGTTGTGTACCTGTCTCCCACACCTTTTCTGTTAGTGTGTGTGAGCTGCTGGAACAGGACTTGGCTCTCACTAGGTGTTTGTGCACCACTTGGCTCAACAGGGCCCTGGCCCTGGCTGCAGCTTCTAGGCACGACTGGGATGTTGCCCATGGAAGCAATTAATAAAGATGAGCCAGCGTGTGCGTGCAGAAGCGTGTGCCTCTAAAAGGTGAGCATATGCACAAGAAGGGGTGTGAGTACCTGTGAACGTGTGGGGAGTGGGCGTGGTTATCTGCGGCGGGAGCATGGATGAAGTGTGTGTGTGTGAGAATCGGAGAAGGTGTGTGCGTGTGTGTGTGTCTGGGAAGGTGCGTGCATGTGCATGTGTGTATCTGGGAAGGTGAGTGTGTGTGCGTGTGTGTATGTATCTGGGAAGGTGTCTATGTGTGCGTGTGTGTGTCTGGGAAGGTGAGTGTGTGCATATGTGTGTGTGTCTGGGAAGGTGAGAGTGTGTGTGATTCTGAGAAGGTGTGTGTGTGTGTGTATGTGAGTGTGTTGCCGGTGTGCAGGCGTGTCCGTGGTGTGCGTGGGAGGAAATGAAGGTGTGTGAGCAGGTGCGTGCATAGCTCAGGAGGGCAGCAGCTGTGCGTGTGTGAGCTGAGATCTCAGGCGAGTGTCCCTCACAGACACAACGCCTGCCCAGGGATTTTGAAAGCCTCTCTCTAGCAGACCTGTATTCCATTTCAAAGGGCTCCTTGAAAGCTTCTGAAGTCTCTGCGTAATGTAAAGGCTGCAGGACTCTTTGAAGATAAACGTTTGAAAAATAACAAAATATTTTTATTTAAATGCCTTAAACATTGGCATTAATCTGGGCTAACGCCTGATCCTTTGAGAGAGCAGAGAACCCCCTCGGTCTCCTCTGTGCGTTTACTGAAAGGAAAACCAGTCACGAAATAAGTTCAGGGCCTGCCTTCAAGGAAGCCTAGACAATAAAACCCATTGAAGCCTTCACCTGATGCACTGAAACATGGTCTTTGCTGTGCGCCTCTGTGTTCATGTGAGTGCAGAGCAAACCAAGGCATCTGACCAGATTTTCCTGGGGAAATGGGGAACCCGAGGGCTGGGAATGGGCAAAGGATCTTTCACGTGAAGGTGCCAGGCAGAACCCAGCCCGCGTTGGCAGTGAGTATGGAGCACACGAGAGATGAGTTTGGTGGATCTCTGCTCCACCCACACCTACCTTCCCACCTGTGCCCATCACTGCTACTTGAACCCTCTGCCATCCCACTTCTGCCACCACTACTGCTCCACCTATACTTAGCACTGTCCCCTCTCTATCCATACCTACAGCCCTACTCACTCCCTATTCCTCCACTGAACTCACCCCCACTGCTTGTACCTCCCACCTTCCTGGGGGCTGGCAATGTGGCACGGCCTTTCTCTGCCTTCCTCCAGGCAAAGGCAATTCTCCGGTGAGTTTGTGGTCACGCTACATCCCACCCGAGCCCCGCTCCTGCAACGCACATGCCTTTACACGCCCACCAGCATGTCCCATGGGGCAGCAGTGCCAGCAGAGACAGGGAATGGCTATTTTTACCTCTCATCCCACAGCAGGTCTAGAGGACCCCAGTGCACGGACCCCACTGCTGCCACCCACAGTGCTGGAGACCAGGAGGCAGCACAGCCTTCAACAGCCATCAGTAGGGGGCAACTGCTCCCATCTGTTCTCCACAACAGAAGCCTTTGGCCCTGCCTCAGAACCAGCATGGAGTGGGCAGTCACTGGTTTGGGTGCTCTGTGGCTACGTCTAGACTGGCATGATTTTCCGAAAATGCTTTTAACGGAAAAGTTTTAACGGAAAAGCGCGTCTAGATTGGCAGGATCCTTTTCCGCAAAAGCACTTTTTGCGGAAAAGCATCTGTGGCCAGTCTAGACGCGGTTTTCTGCAAAAAAGCCCCGATTGCCATTTTCGCGATCGGGGCTTTTTTGCGGAAAACAGCACTGTGCTGTTTACACTGGCCCTTTTGCGCAAAAGTCTTTCGGAAAAAGACTTTTGCCCAAATGGGAGCAGCACAGTATTTCCGGAAAAGCACTGACAATCTTACATGAGATCGTCAGGGCTTTTCCGGAAATTCAAGCGGCCAGTGTAGACAGCTGGCTAGTTTTTCTGCAAAATC